CCACAACAAATTTATATAACACTATACAATGTAGATATGAATTCTGTCCTTTAGCTGCCAAAAATGTAAACCATCACTAATGGTAACTTTTATATACATTAATATAGATCACAACTTATCATCAATTGGAACAAAATTCAGATAAATTGAGATTACATGTATGGTTTAGTGCCTCCTTTGGAGTGCTTTATGCAGCATTACAAATCCATAGCCTGTGTGTCTCCTTTTCAAGGAAACGATAATGGTAACCTTATTTTTGCTTATTTTAAGCAATTCAATACTATCACATCTTCCATGCCACTAGAACACATTTCTTACTTTTCTAGTTTTTCCAGTTTTAAGAACAAGCTTCATTTTCCAAAGCCACCTCGACAAGCAGGACTTCGTTCTACCTCCTGAGAGCCTTTTTCCCACTGGTCTGGTGTGCGTGCCTGTGAGATTAATAGGAATAAATAGAATAAAACACTGTCAATGATTAGCAAGGAATGAGAAGTAAAATTTCACCTATATGCATGAGAACATCCCCTGTTTTTTTTTTTTTTTTTCTTATTTTTCTATCCAAGTCACACTGTTATCTATTAAAACTGTACCATATTTCTATCTACCCATATAAGAAAAAAAAAATGAAATGGAGCTTATACTTTAAAAGTGCAGTATACCATAGCATTATGAGAATGATGCTTCTGCTGATTATTCCAAAAGCTTTATTATCATTATTCATTTATTTACTCATTCATTTAAATTAAGAAGTATAAAATAATAAATTAGATGCACAAAAATTATTACACACTATAACAGAAATGTTATGCAACACTAAATAAAAATAGACAATACAATAACCAATGTTAAGCACAGAAACTTACCACAATGGAAAGAGCATGCACTCCTGATGCTAACTCTTCACTTAAAGCTGCATTCACAAGGCGGTGGCGCTGTAAAACAAAGTCTGTACTTAGCTATAATGACTACCAAAGCAATGACCATATAGGAACGGAAATTCAAGGTGGACAAACATTCCATACGGCACACTTTTATAGTAAAAATTTTACTTTTATAGTAAAAATTTTACTTTTATAGTAAAAATTTAACTTTTTTTTTGTTAACCACTAACCTCTGTGCTGGATCCCCTCTCTCTCTCTCTCTCTCTCTCTCTCTCTCTCTCTCTCTCTCTCTCTCTCAAACTACTAACTAAATATGCCCGCTTTCTTTCTGCAGTTTTAGCATTAAGTCTATAAAAATGTGCAAGGTACATGTTAAAATGTATTCTATTCTACCTATTTTGTCCTATCTATATCTTTGAGTAAATTGATGATCAGAGTAAAATTAAATCTTATTTCTTATCTTACAGCACCCTTAGGACCCACACTGCAAACTATGTCTATTTCTCTGTACGCTGAAAAACACCAGAGAACATACCTTAATGAGAGGAACATTTTCAAAGGTTGGAGAAACAACAAGGACCTTGAAATGTGTTTCCGAGCCAGGTGGGACATTGTGCATAAAGGACTCGTTAACGATCTGCAAATGGACGGGTTGAAAAGCCTCGACCAGCTTTTTCTTTATGGCCGATTCAACTGCTCCATCTGAAATAGAGAAATGATGCATTGATAAGGAAAGGCTCGTTTCATGCTCAGAAAAATTCTTTTTGTGATCTAAAAAAAAAAAAAAAAAACAGGGTTGCAGTGAAATTAGAACTGGAACTCTTCACAATTTTTTTTCAAACTAAAATGAAATATCAACCTAAAATATACAATTCAAATATGCTTACAAGAACAAACGGTAATACTGCGACTAAGTACACAGGTTAAATACCAGTTTGGACTGTGAGCTTAAAATCTTTTATACTTACTAGAAGACATTTTATGTAAGGGTTCACCTCTTCTGTTATGGAATGACGGTGTCGATGATATCCTCCGAACTGTTCCTGAAAAACACTCTACTTACGTATCTGATATTGTAAAAAGATAAGGCTGTATATGCATACTATAATAACCAAGTATCCTCACTGCTCAAGCAAAAGAAAAGGTATGTATCTATCTTGATATATAATGTTCCTTCTACTGCTACGAAGACATTCTTTAAATCAAATACACACCCACGACTGCTCTGCTGATCATCCTCAAGGGCTTCCTGAGCTGTAAAACACCTTCCCCTTGCACTCTCTGCAAACGTAGGACTGTATTAAACGTTGATCAATTTTGGTAAAAGTTTACAATACAACTGCACCCATTGGCTAGGCAGCGAACTTCCTAACTTGTCATTTTGGACATTATTTTTGAGTTACGATGGAAGTACTAGAAGATATATTTCTTAGAATCACTTGCTCTTTCATTTGCACATAACATTTTTCATCTAAAAGAAGGCTGGCTGAAAAATTGACATGGTACCGTCATTTTCTCCTAATCATTGGGGTCCTGTTACCTTGATTTCGTCTCTTGAAATCACAGGTCTTGTTGGCCTCCCTGGAGGTTTTTCATTGCATATGGAACCAGTCCAAGAT